ATGAGTAATTTCCACTAGTTCAATCTTTTTAAACAGAGAAGAAACCAGTGACTTTCATCATAGGAAAGAAAAGAAAAAGTTTTTTATTTCTGTAAATGGATAGCCTGCTTCAAATAGGGTAACTTTGGTTTCTTTCTCTCTCTTCAGTATGTCCTGTACTGAAGCCAGACCCATATTATGAAATGTTTTAAAGAAAAATAGTTTCTGTTTTCCAGAACTGAGCAGTAAGAACAGAATGAATCTACCTCTTACCCAGCATTTATATTGTAGACAATGGGTAAAAGTACTCAAAATATTTCTAGATTAGACTTTTTTTCAAGGTTTAGGTCTCTGAAACTGGAGATTGGGATTTCTGAAAATGTAAGTAGTTGCACAGATTTAATTTTTAAGTCAGTGGTAGCTGATCTTCCCAATAAATTGAAAACACTAGTAGAATTTTAAAAACATTTCTCATTATATAAGTAAAACATGCTCCAAATACTTAAGATCACAAGGTTCTTTTGGAAAAAAGAAAAAAATTGAATAAATATTCAGACCTTCAGTCCAGCTGTTTGCCCACAAGTAAACAGGAGCTAACTGTACACACACACCTTTAGCCTGTTGTGTGCTAAGAGGATGTATTAGCTTGGCCCTCTGATTTATAGGTTTTCAGTCTTCCTGCCGTCCAGAGCTAAGCCCCTGACTCTCTAAGGGGCTACCTAAGGTAATGAATTATATGTAAGTGTTGCCTTGTACCAGCTGAAGGAGCATAAAGACTGTACTTGGCTTTGAGTAGCGCTGTCCACAAATTCTTGAACCTTAAAGTCAAGCTAATCAATTTGGCCTCATGCTTGCCACAACAGGCTATGAGAAAACAGCAAGGCTGAAGCCAAACTAACCAGCACAGTTGTACAGGCCCACAGTCACAGGAGAATATAATTTTAAGGAATTTTGGTAAAAATTTGGAGCTTCTGTTCCCCACAAGGTCAGAGCTTCTGTTCCCCCCCAGAAGACTCCATGCAGACCTGGGTTTTCTGACTTTCTTTTCTTTGTGTTATTAGGCTGTTGATTTTACCTGGTTGTTCTGAACAAGAACAGACAGATTCTTTCAAATAAACCATAACTAAAATTGTTGTATTTTCCTTACCACGCTGTAATAGGTATATTATCTTCCTCATCAACATTGAAAGGCAGAAAAATAAGACATCTTTTCATTTTGAAAATTTGCTAGATGCTAATAGATTCTATAGAAACACCCTAGCTCCAAGCAGAAACAGCAGTCCAACGGAAGGGTAGGAAACACCTCTTATGCCTTTAGCCATCAAAATGAGTCATATAATCCAATTTATTAATTTAGGCCCTTGTTGCAGTCAGCACAACTGGCACCTCTGGCAGCAACTCATGAATTACCATGAGAAGTAGCTATCTCCCTCTTGCCTCTAGTGTGCCCTCATTAAACATTTTGCCAATTGAATACCTCTGTTACCTTCTGACCATCACACTGGTGAAATAATTGGGATTTTGCCCTCTGGATCTTGTGTGTTATTTCTCATACATTAGCAGTTTCATGTCTGTTAATCTTCAAGCATACACATCTTTTTGCCTTTTGAAATGGTTTACATCTTAAAACTTTTCATAGTTATCCAACAGCCTGAGAAAGGGGCTGAAACGCAGAAGCTAATTTTGATATTGTCACTGACAAGCCATGTGTAGCCTTGGGGCTAGCCTGTCTCCTTGCAGCCTGCTCCCAGACAGAGGAAATATGTAGTTGCACAGCTCTCAGCAGCAAAATAAGGACCAAACTGTGACTCATTGTCACTTTTCTACTTGACTCCCGCTTCTCTCTTGCTCCACTGGGGAAATAAGTTGTGGCAGACAAACAGCTGGCACAGAAACCTTGTCTTTCTCCTCTACTCACCTCCCTGGATTGGATCAGTGCACAGTCTCCAGAGCATTGCAGCAAGCAGAGCTGAGTCTCTGCTCATTCTTCCCTGTGTGGGAGGATAAAATGTCAGGGGATGGCCATCAACCCTGCACTGTGACCTGTAGGAGATTGGACCAGAAAGGACCAGCTACAGGCTGGTGCTGGAGCTGTTGTGCACATACAGATTAAGCTGTACATTGGCAGAAGCCATTTCTCAGAGGTATCAGCCTTTTGCTGTTCGTGCTTTGCTGGTGGCAGCTCCAACTACATCTGCCACTGCGTCCAGGGCAATCCCTGTGTTCATAGACACAGTGGAGTAGCCCAGTTAGAGACCCATGGCTTTTTAAAGTCTTAACTGGAGCACAGTAAAGATCTTAGCTTCTACATGAATACCCATTATCTGGTTAAATGTAATAATTACAAGAGCAATAATTAGTATTCATCATAATAATATGGCTAATATTAATATTAATATTAGATCCTGAGAGTGTAGCAGAGTACTTGGTCTCTGTACTGAGTCTTTGTACATTTTTTTCATACAATATAAGGACTTCCACTTTTTAACAGTACAGTTTTGGGATTGCCATGACATGTAATATGAGAATGCTGAAGATAATCCTTTGGAATTTTCTCCTGAATTCTTGACAGCTAGAGACATAGGTCCTGCCAACTTTCTAAGGACATTTATAAATTGCTGTCTTCAGGGATCTCATTTTGTCTTTCACAGTGTACATTTCACCAGTATTTCCACAACTAACAATTTGTAGCTGTGTAAAAGAATAAGTAGCACATGTGGGTATTGGTGTAAGTAGACGGTGCAGGGTAATTGCTTAATATTTAGGTAACTTAATCTCATTGTCATTATCATGCTGTTGACCTGAAACAGCTCCCCATTGCCCCTGTTCATCTGTGAATAGATTGTTGTCCTGACACAGATTGTCAGAAAGAGAACCCTGAGATGTGCACCAGCACAGCCTGCCAGGCCTGGGCTGTCTCTCTAAACCAGGAACTGCACTAGCCACAGCAGTGCCTGCATCGCTGTTGTGCCCTGCTCCCTGACATGTCAGCACAGTACCCCGAAAGGCAAGGAGCCCAAGAGTCTGGCTCTGTGACTGACAGTGGAAAAAAAAAGGAGTTATAAATACCTATTGCAAGGAGCAAGTGCTTTAGTCCAAGCAAAGTCATGAAGAGCCCAGCAAATCATGGGCTGTGAGGAGATACAGGAAACAAAATAAATTGCATGAAGTAACAGGTAGTTGAATAGTCTTTTGTTAATCCAAACTATATGTTGCTGAAGTTTATATCTAAACTTTTAGAATGTGAGTGCCACTACTAGCCCCAGAGGAAAAGAAGGTGCAAACTGAAACATTAGCTCCAGGCTGAATTATTACTTTTTTGCCATAAATAAAATTTCCATCCTGTGGATACAGTGTTTAAAAATCAGTCAATCACTACAAGTGCATTCCAAGTACATGAAAAAACAAAAATAAAATTAAGCCAAACATAACTAAACTGTACTGATCATATAGTTTATTTCCCTGTGACATGGAAGGTCAGCTTACTGAGGAGGTGATGCCCCTTATCATCTAAGCCTATGTTTGTACTGAAGACGCACACTGTTACAGCTCCTGTAAAAACACTATGCAAACGGAACAAAAACATTTTTCAGACTATATTTTCTTTCATTCAATGTTCTTTTGTTTCATTCTAGAGACTTTAATTTTCTTTCTTTAATAGATAAATAACTGAAAAGTCAGACTGGTTTGAAAAGCTTATATTTTTTGCCATTAATTTTGGACCAAAAATCTAGCTAATTTGGTTATTTCACAGATTTGCCTCATAACAGCTAGAAAACAACCAATTTTTCCAACACACCTAGTTAAGAATATCTGAATAAACCAGTGTTTTTATTTGGGTTAGGGCTGTCAGGCTGAGCCACCTGTTTTGGCAGCATTTGCCAGAAGTAAATTATTGATCAGTCCAAGTGCCAATTAAAAAACCACATTGCCTCGCTGCTGTGGATAACCAGATATCAAGCAAGGATTGTACTACTTGACATAGTCCCTAATATCAGCCCTTAACAAGGAAGGGGATCACTTTCTAATAGCACTTAATGCAGACCCTCTTATAAGTACGAACAATAAAAAATGGAAGATGAAAAATACATATTTCATGCACCGAAACACTACACAACCATTGAGAAGCAGAATAAAATAACCCTCAGAAGACTGTTTTAAAGCTTTTTATTTTGTATTTTTGTCATTATTAAATTAGGATAAACAGTGGAAAAAGTTGGAGTGAAATTCAGCTAAAATATTCAGTATTAGAGAGGGTTGCATTTTAAATAAATCCCCTCTCTGACTTCAGCTGATAAAATATTGTTATGCATTTAAAATGTTATTTAAATATGAATGGTCAGGAAATATTGAAGTACATGAAACATTCACATTTTAGAATATGTATTTATTGGTTAATACAATTGCCTTTCATTTTTGCAGGCTGACATCTGGCATATTTATTTCAGCACAATTTTCACTGACTCCCTTAGAAGTCTACCTAAATAAGAATAGCAGAGGGTTTTTTTTTTAACCTTTTACCCTTCGATAACTCCATGTACAGTTCACAAATACTCTGTGCTCCCTATGGAAAAATTAGGGTCAACAAATGAAGCTATTCTGACTCTGGTAAATCTCTGATTATAAGGGACTACCAAAGCTTTTTCTGAGCAAAAGGAATAGAACACCCTGAACTTCAGGCATTCCCAGTTTGTATTGTTCTAACGGAACTGCCTAAATAATTGTGTTCTGCAAATGAAGCTAAGGTTATTTTTAGAGGTGTTCAGAGAACTTGCTTCATTAACTGGTAAAAATTTGAGCTACAGGACTGAAAAAAGTTAAAAAAAAAAAAAAAAGAAAAAAGAAATAAAAGAAAAAGCAGGAAAGAAAAATAAAAAGGAACCCAAAAAACAATATTAAATGATCCTGGAGCGAAAACATTATTTACTAAGAACAACAAATCATTTTGACATGCCAGTTCAATAATACTGTTAAAGCACATACCATTTTTGGTTAATTATATTTGAAAATAGTTACTGTACCTTCTGCTGTTATCTCAGCCATGATGATGGTAAAAGATACTCTGTTTAAAAGGTCAAGATTTACTGCGGCAGCTTAGATAGTACTTCTGGGTTACTGACTCTCGCAGGAGTTGCAGAATGAGAAGGAGGGAGGTCCTCTGCTTTTTCTAATTGTGCTCCTTCTTCTTTTATGCTCCCTGAAATGTCTGTTTCCTCTGCAGAATCTTGGCCTCCCAGAACAACCCGAGGCCTTCCAGAGGCAACACTTAAAGCTCAGTCTAAAGTGTCAGCTTCTAACAAAAATAGCCATGCCTCAGAGAGAACCTTCAGCACGTTTTTTCTAATATCCTCAGAACCATGCACACCACAAACTAAAAGTAAAAAAAAACACAGCTCTAAACAGGACAGGAATTCATGGAGAGGCAACAAAAATCAAAAGAAATGGGAAAGAAGTGTTCAATGCTCCTACAGCCTTGCTAGCATAATTGCAGTTCTTTGGGGGGTATGTCAGGAAACATGAAATATAGAGTTCAAAGTAACCTTATCCATCCCAGTACAACTTTATTCTTAGCACACTCAGTGCTTAGCACATTCTTCCTGGCCTTTTATGGCTTGGGGAGGGTCCTGTGGAGCTCACCCCTGACTAAGGGGGAGGGTAAATTTAGGTGATTTTCTCCACTTCAACTCTTAGTTGCAGTTCAGAACCACTTAGACACCAATTTAAACCAATTAAATTGGTTTGGATTTTTTTTTGTCCTTTTCTGATTTGCTGAAATTATCACACATACCTGTAAAGTTCATCTAAGTATCACAGAACACTGTCAAAAATTTAAATAATAATTTTTTATATAGTCTAGATACATTAAGATAATATGCAAAACTATTAAGCATATCTGTGTCTGATTCATGGAAATATTTAAGTAGCTCAAAACTGCTGTGATTTTAAGAAGATTTTGTAAAACTGAAAAGAAGTAGATTCTTAAAAGCATTTAAAGGAAGTAAAATTTTAGCAATTTAAATAATTATTTTAAAACCTGAGGAATCTTTTCATTGCACTGCTTGCAATTTCACAGCTGTAGAATTAGGTATGAGGTCAATAGCTTGAAAATGAAATTAGCAAAAAAGTGCCCCCAAGCCAGCAGACCTCTGTCATCATCATCGTCATATGAAATCAGAAACCATCTTAAACAGCTCTTGCTAGTGAACTTATAGTCACCTTGTCTCTGCTACAGGAGTTGGCATTTACACTTCTCATTTCCCCCCTACCCAGGAGATATAAGCACCTGGCTCTGTGGCAAAGTGTGGGGAAAGGAATCTATTAATCCAAAGAAAGAAATGCAAGATGCAGAAACAAATGTTCATTGACCAGCAAAATCACCACCAGGATTTTTCTCTTCCCTCTATACTTAACACACTTCACACCTGCCACATCTGAAAATGGAAGCTTTTTCTAGACAAAACTTGCAATAAGTGTTTGAGCCCCTTTCTTTAGCTCTACTGACCAAATGTTTTGCACTGACAGATTTTGATTACTTGGTGCTAAGTATTCAGTGCTTTTCTGATCATCCTTCTAACCTTATGTTTGCTGCTTTAGCCTGTTCTTCAGTAGATCCTCGTCACTAAGGCTGAAAAAAGATTTTAGATAAAACCTTATTTCTTCAAAAATACTCTTTCATGGACACCTAAATGGTCCAAGGAGTCACATTCACATATCAACAAAACAGCTGCCCACAAAAGGTCAGTGGTTAGTAAAAGCTGATAGAAGGTGTGATAGTAGGGCAAATCTCTTGTTTTTCTTAATTATTTCTCTCTTGCTGAAACAGTTCCATTTTACATGAACAGTTAAGTATTTGGGGTCACCTGTGTTTTGACAGCTTTACTACTTGCTTGAGATGTGAGACAGATTATCTAAGTACCCAAAGCACAGAGCTAATCAATCCTGATAAGTCAGTATTTTTTTTCACGTGTATTCCTATTCAAATTTAATAAAATAGTAAAGTCTTAGTTTGGGACTCTGGGGAGAGAGATAAATGGGGAAAAATTCATGTCTGAATATTTTCTTGTTTTATGTAGCAAGATCTTGAGACTGTGGACTATAGCCAGACATAAGTGTTTGGATAACTAACTACATGCATGATTGTCTGTCCCTCACCAGTGTACATTTCAGCTCCTACCACCTTCCTCCTTCCTTCCTGCCTTACTCCCTTGTTACTATTTCTGCTTGTCCTCAGTCATGGTCTGTTATTCTGAAACCAAAATATAAGAGCAGAAGAAGTGAGAGAATCCAGTTTGAAACCAATTTTCCACATCAGCCCAGTGGCCAGAAAGAGAAGTGGCTGGTACCCTCTGTATCCCTTGTATGCACAAAATACTCATTCTGGGAAGCAGGCTAAAGATGTTGTATGCATCAATATCTTACATATAGAAGTGTGGTTTTGGGGAACTCTATTGAAAGTTACACAGTTGCTCCCTTTAAGGAGGAAAATATCAAGGGATCTGGGTGTCATATTTACTAGAGATAATCACAGCCTTGGTGAAAATACGCAGAAGTAAAATAAAACAAGTTATGTGCGTGTGTGCATACACATTCAGTCTGAAAACTAAACATTGCCATCTGGAAATTATAAAGAATGTCAGTTATTCTTTAGAAGTCGAAGCAAGAGAAAATCTGAAATTTTTTTTAGGGCAAGTTAGATATTTTTCAAATTCTGAAATTTAGTTCCTGACTCAGTTTAAGAGTTTCTTTTAAACTAGTCTGTGAAACTCACAGTATGCAGAAAGTGCAAGATTTATACAAATCTTCATGAAACAAAGAAACATATTTTCCTGGCCTAGTTTATATGTTGAAAATTTCACGTTAGTGGAAACCTTTTCTGCGTAACCTGACCAGAAATATTCTTTTGTAAGATGTCCTTTCTCTCTCCTTGCTCCTCAGACAAGGAAAGTGAAAAATCTTAAACTACTATGGTTTTTGCAAGTGATATCTAAACCTTGGCACACGCAAGTTTTCCATAATTTCTTCTGATTATGCCTTGAGCACAACAACAAAATGCTGTTGCCTCGAGTTAGCAACAGATATTCCCCTCCTACTGACAGGGGTTATATGGTAAATGAACTGTCCTGGGATCAGTTCTCACGTTCAGTGGTGGGAAGGGATGGAGTGAAGTGTAGAAACAGCTACACCTTCACACCAGATTCCTCAGATACACAAATACATGTTAGACAAAATAAAATGACAATTCTTTTTGCTCTATAGCTGCCTGCATAGGGAAAAAGGTAACAATACTAGGAAGAGGGGAGAAGAATGCTGCTACTAATGTCTGTGTGTAACCATGTGCCTTGATCTCAGATAATGCATATTTCAATTAGAACTCTATCAGATGAAACAAAGTAAAGCAATTATTTGAGCAACTTTTTTAGGAAATATCAGAGGTTTACTATTTGTCAGATTCTAATGCAAAGTCCTGCTTATTGGTGAAAAGTTTGGTTGTTCATATAATCAAATAGGAATGTACAAATACTTTATGAGCTCATTTCTGGATTGTCTTGATGATATTATTAGAAGGAGAATTGGGAGAGACAACAGTTCACATGAAATTATGAGGTAATGAGAGGAGAGACTTTGATCCTGTATAAGGAATTATTGGAGGAATTGAGTATACTGTCATTCAGCAAGAAAATGCAGGACAATATTTGAGTTGTCTGCTAACACGTTACTGATGAGTTCTCAGAGTTCAGTCCTACTGAGAATCAAACTATTCATAGGAAAGGAGACTTAACCTTAACTCTGATACACCCCGGATCAGATGGGAGTATGCTGTTATCAGAAACACCCACTAATCGACTGATAAAAACTAAATATAGGATGAAAGTATGATGCCAAGAAGAGGCTGAATGGTGCTGAATATAGAGAGTAACAGACATATGCAGAAGCAAATACAGTATTAGAGTGATGTCTGCCAGCTGAGTTTTGATGAGCATATGGAGCTGGTTTCCTCTGAAACAGACTTTTACTTTTTATGCCTTATTTTTGTTTAAGAATACTGTTACTTCTAGGTGAGATCTTCATTCAGCCCCAGTAGTAATACTGTGTTTTCTGGTATGAATAGGAACACACATTCTGGTACCTTTGAAGTCTTGATCAGTCAAAGATGTAGCCGTGACTTTCTATGGACCATTACACAACCCTCAAGTAATTTTTTTTCCATTTGTGATTGATATTTCATAATTAACCATTGCAAGATTTTTGGAATCAACATGACCAAAATATAGAGGTATTCTGGATATGCTGAAGTACACCCAAACTACAAAACAAAACAAGATCTTGGTATCACATCTGATCTGGGTTAAATCTTGGCAAATATATATTTATCTCATAAACCAATTTGCACCATTTTTCAGAGAATTGCATCCATAGTACCTTTAAACAAGTTTTTATTTCATATGTAGGAGACAGTAGGTTGAACTCCAGAGTAGATCTGTCCTACACTTAATGTGAGCTACTGACAGACAGATAAGAAGCTCTGTCCCTGCAGGCTGACTGGTCTGAATGCAAATCAGCCTCTGCCTGGGGACAGCTGACAAGCACACTGGGGTCACATCACCGTGGCACTCTGAGCTCATTAAAGGACGCTTCCAAAGCTATATGATAGAAACATGGCAGGTACAAAAGAAAATATCTATGGTATTGACTATTCTGCTTTACTATGGACAATACCCCTATTAGGCACAGTACTGCAAAACTGCTGAAGTAGCCTCTGTCAAGGTGAATAATGAACATATTCTAACATCCAAGAAGTCCAACTGATTATAAAACTACTTCCAGGAAACAAGAACATCTTACTTAGTCTTCTTGCAAGCTGGCCAAGTAGGCAGTCTGTGGCAGGAAATCAGACTAAAGCAGCCCCCTAGTTTATGAGAGTTAGGTGTTTTCAGTGTTCTCTGCTTTAACTATAAAAATTATTAGTATAAACTAGGTTTAGGGAGGTCATTTATTGCAACAAGTCAAGGTAGACTGCATTTGGATGACCTTTAGCAGCTCCATGTAACACACTTTTCCTTTGATGATTCTATTCTTGCTATTCTAAATGAGTATTGTTTTATTAGCACCTATGTGGCTTTACTTTCACATCCAAAAAATTTCTTAGAAGCTGTTTCACAGACAAGTTCTATGACACTGAAAAACAATATCTGGACCTGGTTCTTTTTAAGAAACAATGACAAAATGTACACTATAATTGTCTTTTTCTTCAGAACAATCTGTATCCAAGCTTGACCATGAACAGAACATAGAAAGTTGCCAAACAATTATTAGAGATGGGGATTGGCTCTGACACAACATGAATTACCCCTGTGAAATACTGACTGAGAACTGTTCAAATATACCAAAGTATTTTGTGTCGGGTCAAAAATATCCTTGCAAAGCAAGGTGACTTCAGTTCCCATTACTTTCCTTGAGAACAGGAATTTCCTGAAAAAATTCACTGACTT